TCGCCAGCCTTAAGAGGGCTAATGAGGCAGCAACAAAGCGTAGGCAGCGTAAGAAAAAGCGGATACAGAAGCGAGGAGTACTTACAAAGGGAGCTGGAGAGGATCTACTCGCTCAGCGCGAGGCTGATCAGCAGATTGCTCATGAAGAGCGTCAGAGAGGAGAGCGATCAGGTGTTAGCCGCCAGGCTTTGGCGCGCTGTAGTAGGTGCAGAGAGACTGGCCATAACTCGCGTACGTGCAAGAAAGATACTCTAGGTACTGCTTAATCTATTATGTTAATATGTAGTAAAACAACTATATTGTGGTGGAACTACAGGCTTATAGAGGTGCGCAGGTTTGGTGGGGTGCGGCGCTCGCTTGCCTGCGGCGCTCGCTTGCCACATACGTTACCATAAACGCGAGTATGTAGTGTTGATTGTGGCACATTATATGCTTTTGCAAGAGCACGGATAGATTGTTTTGGATTATTACGATAAGACGCGATAGCAAGGCTTATTCTGCCTTCACGAGAAGTATGTATAGAACGTTGTTGTCGCGGCATGGTGGTGGTTGTGTAGAGCGTCGCGTCAAGTTTGGTGGGGTGCCCAGCTTACTGATCTGCCCAGCTTACTGACCCTGCACGTTAGAGAAAATGCTGCTTAGCTAATCCCTTTTGATTGGACATTCAGCTATACGTAACTAAAAATACTACAGCAACTGAGACGCGCCCTAGCCTAGTCCCAGCGTCAGCATATAGGCCTTTAATCACTCTGCGTACATGCATATAGTAGCAAAAACCTAGTGCAGCATACAAGATGTCAGCTCACTGCCAAGCTGCGTATACACACTTATTACATGATGCCTAGACTATCCGATAGATTACTGGGAGAAGGCTCGGGGACTTAGCCGTCGATCGCAATCGTATTTAATCTATTGATTCACCACACTGAAATTGTGTTAGTGTGTAGATATGAGGAAACACGCATAAGGTGTACTAGTGAATCTCGCGATACTTACTTTTCTTGCAGAATGTTTGCTCACCAGACGCAGCACTAAAACTTCAAGTATACCTCGAAATAATTATCGAGGTAGACGGTACAGAAGCCGGTCATCTTTCACAGCGTCCGAATTTTCGTATCGACTGACAGAGTATTGTCATTCACCCATGCCACAAACCCCTTCGCTGGCAGTCATGTGCAAACACATGGTATAAGAATTCAAGGACTTTGTTTATCGCTAATAGTCTAATACAAAATCGTACGTCCAGAACAATTCACCCCTCCTTTTCGCGATCGAAATAGTCATTACCCCAGAAGCTTTGACCCTCTCATCCGGTACCCGATACTGCAAGCTTCATCAAATGGTCCATGAAGGTTTGCAGACTGACATCGTCGGTGAAAATGGTCTGAGCTGTTTGTGCGACACCACCGTAGGTTCCAGTAGTGTGCGTCGTCGATGGGTTGAGCTTGCTGAGCAGGAAACGGGCTTGTGAACCACCAGCATCGCAGACAATGAAACGGGGCAGCGGGAAACGGTCCTGAATGAGCTCCTTGGCGTCCTCTTTTGGCGCTTCCAAGAGTTCCCTGAAGTTCTCATAGCCCTCTTGCTCTTGATAGCCAGCCTTTCTCCATTCTGCCATGGTCTCGCCGTGGAAAATGAGAATATGGAAGAAAGTGTCGAGCAACAGAACAGTCTCGGACTGAATCGAGCTTGAATCGAGGAGCACGGGCTGACCGCCTTCGTGGTCAAATCCGTAGCTATCCAACGTTGGCTGAATCATGATGAGGGAGTTGCTAACATCCTCGTGGTTCAAGACATGGCGGTAGAAGGCGGTTTCGTCGGGCGAGTTGTTGAAGACTTGCAGGAACTGCGAACGACGGAGATGGAACATGAACTGCGGGTATAGCGTGAAGTTCTTTTCGAGCCTGGACACGAAATTAGCAACGGTTTTGAGCAGATGGAACTGGTTGGCGAATTTTCATGCAAACTCAACGCTGCTGAAAAAGACTACAAAGTGCATATACATACCTGAACGAAGAGGGGTCGTCCTTCCTGTACTCAGCGAAGCGAGCACATAGTCGGATCAGCATGCGATCGACCCATCGCAGGACATCTGGACCGTCATCAACCTCAGCCTTGAAGACTGCTATCCTAGACATGAGCACGGCAGCGGCTTCTTGATCGAACGATTGGGCAATTGCGGGGTCGCCAGAGGGGCTACTCAGCGGTCGGGCGACGGTGGTGACTATGAAGCATTAGCACTCTCATTTGGTCTCGCAGAACCGGCTGACATACCTCTGAGGTGGAACTGGCCAGATGAGTGCTGGTAGTATGTGAGGAACTGGATCAAAGCCTGCTGCTGCCCTGACTGCATCTGGCTCGGGCCTCCCTGGCCGGCAATCTCAAAGTAGATACCGTACGAGGACTGGGGGTCAATACCACACATCTTCCATGCGCAAGTATTGCCAATACCGCACTCAGTTTCGCCAACAGACACAGACTTCTTGTTCATCGAAATAGCATGGCCGATGAGACCAGTAAGCTTCAGTTCCTTTGTCGTGAGGACTTCGAGGTTGGCGTTGAAACCCATGAGGAGATTTTCCTCGGCATCCTTGTTGAACACTCGCGCAAAAGACTGCTTGTACATGGACGAGGTGAAGCTGTCCGTCAAGATCATGTGTCCACCCGTCGAGTTTGCAAGACCCCGCATTTCGAGGAGGCCGACCTGATCAAGACATCCTGCAAAGATGTCAACGATATGGCCATTGTGCGAGACGCGCTTTGCAAGTCCCTCGTAGAACTTGAGTGCCTTCTTGTAGTATTTGATGTTGTCGCGATCGATGTCGTGGTGCGATCGGATGGGTTCACGTAGCTCGGGGCCGACAACCATTCCGGGTCCCTCAGTTGCTGGGCCACCACTGAATAGCATGATGCGAGCACCCCGGTTCACGAACTGTGTCTCCAAAAGTCCAGCAGCGACACTGAGCGCCACACCAGTACACCTGAGGGGGCGCTTATCGTTTGCGACGGGCCAGGGATCTCGCTGAAGGGACTCGAGGGCGTTGGTCAACTGGAATTCGCACTGCGCGACGGGGAGGATGAAGCGCGAGCCGACACCCGCGGGGGGCGCCATCGCAGGTCGACCAGGTTGCTGTGGAACACCTGGCCGCATGGGCATCTGGCTGAGGCCAAGCATCTCATGAACCTGCTTGGAAGAGTAGTCCTTGCTGCCGCGGAAAACATACGACTTGGCGCATTCAGCGTAGCCCAACTCGTGTACTTGGGCCTAGAATTGTTAGCTGGTCCCCAAATAGCCATTGGCCCTACTCACCATGGTACCGTATGTAATAAGTCCAACCAACGCGTCTGGCGGGAGCAAGCTCAGGCTCATGATGATCGAGTCCTTGAGGGCCTTCAAGCTGTCCTCCTCCTGGCATGTGTCGACGACAAAAATGAAGATGGGAAGAATGGGAGGGCTTGTCGTAGTACCGGGAATGCGGTATTCGATGGTGGTGTTTGAGGCATGTAGCTCGGGTGGTATTTGCTGCTCAGAAATGTCCTTGTAGGCCGGGGGGAGGGGGTTGCGGCTAAGGCAGAAAGGACATATCCAGACACGGGCGCGCATGTCAATTTGACTGTTGAAGAGTCAGCCACAGTATCATTCGAGGCATTGGACATGATGGTACCAGAATGGGTTGAGGATGGCCTTGCATGGAGCCCGACAGCCGACGGGCGTATATTGAAGCAGAGGCGTGTCCGTCTTCTCCTTCAGAGGGGTATAGAGAGCGCCAATGGGGACAACGAGACGAGAGGCTTCCTATGTGAAGGATCAGCATCGCATCCACGGCATTGCCACGGCTCCCAATGCCGGCATCAGCGGTCACCTACCATGCGCGAGCTGGGAAACGTGTTCCAGCTGAGGCGGAGGCCATCTCTGTCCTCGATCTCGCTCCACTGGTCCTTGAGCGCCTCAAAGTCGGCCATGCTGGGCAGTTCGCAAGCTGATTGCTATGTTCAAAGGGGTCGTCGGGTGGTGTCGTGGTGGTGCTGGCAGCGGAACGGAGGGCGCCCACGATGGACGATGGGCCTTGGTGGGGCGGCGGTAGGCAAGGCGGGCGTTTGCGGAGCGTGCGAGTGCAGACGGGGTGGCGGGATGGTGCAGAGGTAGGTGATCGAGACGAGACTCCTCGTAGGCAGCCACTGCACAAAGTTGCAACGTCTCCTCCAGAGGCTCCAGCGGTCGAGCTATGCGTGGATACCAGACCAGCGTTGACGATGCGGCCAGATGTTCTTGCCCTAGCGCGCCCGTTTGGGCCTAGCGCCCGGCCGCCGCCCTCAAAACTTCTGATTTTGCCCGCTCCCGCCCTCTTCCTCTTCACCACCGCCAGCTTCACAAAACTACGTAACGGCAGACTCCCACTTCTTTTCATGAACGAGCCTGTTTTCGCGCTGCGCGTAGAGGAGAGTCAGGCCCATGGCTGGGCGCCCGATCTGGAAAACTCGTTCCGAGTATACTGATAGGTTGGGAATCAGCAGAGGTCACATTCAAACGCGTCGAAGCTTTGTGCTGCGCCAGGAAGAAGAGCACGGCGGAGACGTGTCGATGGATTGGCGCATTCAACTGAAGGCCGTCGGCATAATACGCTGGCACTGGCACTGGCACTAGCACCGCGCAGTCTCCAAAGCCACGTGACTTTATCGCCGTGACATCACAGCCGCACGCGCTTCGACGTTCAAGTACCATGTCAGTGTCGTCTCATGAGGCTAGTAGTCCTTGCTGTCGTTTATATGTGTTGTCGCAAGTAAATACATACACAAGGGAAGCGTGCGCTACCAGATGCGCTCGTATTCACAACATACTGCGGCAAGGCAGGTGATGGGGGTGCAGATCGCTGACGCCAGCATCATCCGAAGCCCTACCCCGAGTACAGCAAATTTAGATTCGCATGCGAATCCATACGCTAAAGCCAGGGAATTTCCACATTTAGACGGTAGTGAACATGGGATGCGAGTCCACATAGCGAAAAGCATGGTCCTGATACGAGGCTGTACCTGCGGGTGTGTTTTGTCAGCGTCCGCTAATATGGCCATGTGGAGTCCAATGCACAAAACGAGAACAAGACTGTGGCGATCCATGATGGGCATCGTCTGGGGTAGGCGTTATCGGTTTCTTGTTTGGTGTTTCTTGTTTGGTATTAAGCTTTTCGCCCATGGGCATTCGCCCGTATGCTTCACTCTTGGTCAGTTCCTCGCCATGCCTTCGTTCCAACTCGCCATCATCACTGCTATCGTGCTGAGTTTCACTTTGCTCTACACCATCTGCTCACTATCTGCGCGCGACCCCACATCCATCTTTTTCGATGCCAGCAAAGCCTATACCCCCCGATACTCTGCTCTCCGGTCCCAACAGGCCAAAGCCCACGTTTCGACCTACAACTCGACTTTCAGCCCTGAATACGTCACTGAGAAACACATTGGGAAGAAGCTGTGTGTTGGTATACCCTCTGTTGCGCGCCAGGGTCCACAATACCTGCCTGGAGCCGTGGGCTCTTTGTTAAACGGCTTAACAGCACACGAGAGAGAAGAAATCTATCTCATGGTTTTCATCCCACACTCGGATCCTGCAACCCACCCAGCTTATGGGGAGCCATGGCTATCCAAGCTGACCGATCGCATTCTCACGTACGAAGAACTGAACACCCAAGACATGAACCACGTTCGCACAATGGAGACCAAAGGAGGCATGTTCGAAGAAAAAGGACTGTACGACTACTCGTATATACTGTCCAAATGCGCCGAGCGTAACACACCGTATATTGTCATTCTTGAAGACGACGTCATCGCAATGGACGGATGGTACCATCGTACTGTCAACGCACTGCAGGACGCTGAAGAGCAATCTACGCAGCGTGAAAAGCCTTTCCTGTATCTCCGCCTATTCTACACTGAAGCGTTTCTGGGGTGGAACTCGGAAGACTGGAAAACATATCTCTTCTACTCGCTCTGCTTCGCCGCCATGCCGGCAGCTGTTGTATCATTCTTACGTGCTACATCACTTCCGGGGCTGCTCAACAAACATACCTGGCCAACAGAGGCACGTACCGGTTACCGTCGCTTGGTATTAACATTCTACGCCCTCATGGCAGCAGCGATACTTTTGTTCTTCGCCCTCGGACGAATGACTGTCCTACCACTCCCTACTGGCGTCCACGAGATGCCTCGATTTGGCTGTTGCAGTCAAGCCTTTGTATTCCCCAGGCAGAAAGCTCTCGACTTGATCTCATATTTTGCCCAGACGAAGACAGGCTATGTCGATGTCTTAACGGAGCGCTATGCGGACACAAGAGGCGAGTTGAGGTATGCTGTCACGCCAAGCGTATTCCAGCATGTGGGTACGACAAGCAGCAAGATGGGAGAGTATGGGCCCATATTCAAGCAGAAAACATGGAGTTTTGGGTTTGAGGAATACGAAGCAAATGAGTTGAGGAAAGAACATGAGGCTGCAGGGTCGTGGTTAGATGGTATGGGGGAAGTTTGATAGATTAAAACTTGCTACATGTTTCTATCTGGATGCCACTTGAAACGTCTCTCGAATCGCTACTTGAACGGTTTTTCTTAAGAAAAAAACCGCCATTTGTTTTTCCTACCGATCATGGGTGCAAGTTGATTACCCCGCACGAGGCTGAATATGGTATGGAGGGTATGGAGGCTGTGGAGGCTGTGCTCAGCCTTGTCATTGCTTGCCTAGCTAGGCACACCAACCATTTGCTATTTGGTCCATGCAGAGAGAAGAAGGATGGATTTTTATTTATGCAAATCACCGTAACTACATCCGAAATCCTTCCTGTTGTCCTTAGCCCGGCTGCCAGGAACTTGACCTGCACTTCTCCCAGCGACTGCGTCGAACCTTTCTCTTGTATTGATTTTGGGTCGTGGGATACAGCACCTTGGTACCAAAGCCCCCCTATATTAGTAACATCGACTCCCAGCGGTAATAGAACCATATAGACCTAGGTATCGAAGGCGGCTAAAGTTCGAGGGAGGATTGTTCAAGTATCTACACATGGGTTGTGAAACCATGGCGGAAGCGGAATGGAGCCGATACACCTACCAACCCCTTGACGAGAACAACAATGAAATCAGACTGATAACCCTATTACCCTCGGCGGACACGCGTAGCGAAATCGTCTGCGATATCAAAATTACGCCACTGGTTGAAGGCGAAGTACCTCGATACGAAGCCCTATCTTATGTTTGGGGCTCAACGATACCACCATGCAAGCTTCGAGTATCACCTTATAGCAATGAATGCATCGAGATAACCAATAATCTCGCACAAGCATTGCATTACTTGCGAGATAAATCGGAACCAAGAGTACTTTGGATTGATGCTATCACCATAAACCAACAAGATATTGTGGAAAAGAGCAGCCAGGTCCAACGTATGGCTGAGATATACCCCATGGCAGAAAGAGTAATTGTTTGGTTGGGTGTAGATGATGCCGATAGCGAGACAATCATGAAGATCTGCACAAATCTTAATGAGAAAGTCTGGGTTCCTTTCAGTGGCCGTATGGAGATGTACCCTCGGACTGATGATCCTGAAGATGCCCATTGGAGCGATTTCCGAATACCCCTTCCATACGACCAGACAATCTGCCAAGCAATTGCAAGATTTCTACAGAGACCATGGTTCCACCGACTCTGGATATGGCAGGAAATCGGCCTTGCGAACGTCCACGCAGTGGTGCTGTGCGGCTCTGATACCATGCCCTGGCAGTATCTTGTGAACCTGCTAACCTGCATTGGTTTCAAAATGCTGCCTGATGAATCTGCAAGAGCAGTCAAGAACTTGGGGAGGCTATGGCAAAATAGCTACAACATTGCCCAAAACCGAAGGAACTCCGGGCTCTTGAGTCTACTCCAGCACATGCAGCTTGCTCAGTGTGCCGATCTGCGAGATCGAGTGTACGGCATGCTTGGGCTGTGGCGCAGAACCAATCCGCGCGTAGTCGTGAAACTAGATTATAATCAATCAGTAGCAGACGTGTACCTTGACTTTGCAAGGTCAGTCGCCAAGCAGTCGGGTAGTCTCGAGTTACTCGCTATGTGCGAGTACGACGACGCGTTGAACAACTGGCCGTCATGGGCGCCTCTGCTGAGCAAGCCGAATGTGGCAAACAGTGTCATGATATCAAGATGCACAGGAAATACAGAATGTGCGGTGGAATTCTCCAACGATGGCATTATGAAAGCAGCGGGATTGTGTATCGACCATGTAGCCACATTCGATGTTGAGACTACATCTACGGACTCCACCTTCACCAAGGCCACCCGCTGGATGAAAATGCTGGACATGGATTCGCTTTACGTCGACGGAAAGCCAGTAATGGATACACTTTGCCGCGTCCTGTGTACTGGCCAAATGGACGATATATGCTCACCCGCTCACCTCGCATTCCCCAACATGGCGTCCTCACTAACTGCTCTCCCCAACACTGCGCAACCGCAAAATACCAAATACGTCGCAGACGCCGGCCAAGATTTCTTCTGGCGCCGAGCCAATCAGTCCTGTGCAGGCCGGAATCTCTTTACAACCTCGCAAGGCTACATTGGACTCGGGCCCCTGGGCCTACGAAAAGGCGACCAGATCTGCCTCCTCTTGGGCTTTGAATCCAGCCTGATTATCCGTCCCACGCACAAAAAACGCTTCAAAGTCATCGGACAGTGCTACCTTGCGGGCGTGACTAACGGCGAGCCACTGCTCGGTGCCTTATCCCCGCATCACCGCATGATACTCGTGCAACATGCAGCGTCCTACCAGAATTACTGGACGTTCCTCGATTCCCGCACAGGAAAAGTGGACGTCGAAGATCCGAGACTGGAGTCAGAGTTGCCGCGGGGCTGGCGGCGGGTGAAACATGAGTTGGATGATGTGCAGCTGAAGTTCGCGCACGATAGTAATCCAGGGAAGTGCACGCAGTTTGATCCTCGGTTATCGAGGTCGGAATTGTTGAGGCGTGGAGTGCCTCTGGAAGATATTGAGTTTTCGTAGTCGAGATGAAGGGGAGAGTATTCTTGCACTGTTGCTTGCTCATGTCATTTCGTACCTTATACAGGGAGATATACTTGGTTTAGCCGTAGCTTGATATCTACATAGCAGCTTGAGCTGCAGTGTACTATAATCAAGACGGTTGCTATAGCTACCTTGCTAATAATACTCCACCGTTCCTGAAATGATGAAGCGCATAGGCATGGGATCCTGGACATGTCTTGAGTCCCCATTAAAGGAGCTGCGTGAATAGGATGCTCTTCAGATTTTTCTTGTGTAGAACGGCTTGGATAGTATTCGCAACATACGCATTCTGATATAGCCAATTGATCCAAGACGAGACCCAAGACGAGACCGGAATGAATTAGCGTTGCGCAGCTCCCAAGGCTCTTGCAACATCTCTAGGAAAATACAAGTTTTGCTTGAAGAGTGCAGTTACGCTAGAGATGGTGTCATCGTGGTTCTATGTGTAGCTGTTGGGTTTGAAAGTTTCCATGCAAAGCACTGCAGGCTAGATGTAGTGTAGGTCCAAGCTGTGCGGGTCGGCACGCTGCGGGGTCTAATATTGATAATGTATTCATTAAATCTCCTTACCAAAAGTAATCATGGTGTCCTTGATGCATGAATGCATTTATGAAACACGAGAAGATTAAGCCTGGGGTATGCATTATGGGAGTTTCGTATACTCCGTATTCTGCAAGGGTCTCGAGTTTGATGTCTCTGCCCTTGTTCGCTAAATAAAGCGTGTGTAATTTAGTATGCATCCCTGCAAAAGGTCGTGCGCATTGCTCTTGAATTATCCATTCATATCGTGTCTTTACAAGTCAAGTTTAGAAATGGTTGGTTATAAATAGGTTTCTGCTGAATCTTGTTGAAGAGATGACGCATAGGGTAATATCATATAAACCAAAAGGCAAGAATTATAATCGTTATTCACTTAAGAAAAAGGAGGTTGCAGAGACTATCCGCAGCAGCATCAACTCAAAACAAGAGCAGTCACTGAATGATGGGAAATGGCTAGAACATGGCTTGCGACCCTCGAGGAGCGCATGTAGAGAGCCGACGCTGCGAACGCAAGAGACAAGAGAATCCGGGGATTTCAGCGCCTATCAAATCGAATATGGTACCGAAATAGAACAATTACACCCCCTCCATAATTACTAAGATCGAAACTGACGTCACCTTAGCGCGAGATCGATAACTTTAGACAGGTCGGAAACATGCAGCCACAATGCCAAGAGTGTGATTGGTGGAAGCTCGACTTCGTGTGAACAATACCCGAGGTTGAGAAATAAGTAAGTCAAAAGATATCAGTGATCTTCATGCTGTAAGGCTGCAAAAAGAAGGTGGTTGTTCGTTGAATATGCAACCATTGGTGTTTAACCAGGTTCTCCGCAAAGTAATTAACCGTTAGTATTGAAACCAGCACGTGGGTGGCTGCAAGCTAGCCATACATTTTCTCAACCTATCATACTTCTGTCCACAAACAGTACTCTCGCGCATCTTTTCAGTAAAAACAAAATCCTGCAAGAAAGAGGTGTTGAGACAGGAAAAGTTGCCTGATCGGTGGACAGAAGAGTTGCGCGATTTTTTTGCGGTAATATTTTTTTTTCATGCGGCAGTAATATTCGTATCTTAGATCTCTAGCCTGGTACCTGGGTCGTATATGGCCCAAGGCTTATAGTCCGGGGTTACAACTGTATGGTGACCGACCCAATGAACATGCTCCTTGAGTGGATAGAATACGAGTAAGCGTACAGAGCAGTGGTTCTGGAGCCAAAATACGCCGCATCATTCCCTGTTCGCTTGAACGTTAGAATGGAGATAATTGTTCCGTTGACCGAGTGGGGAACGCCAACTAAACAGGTACAAACTGGACATGTGACGGCGACGAGAAAGAGTATAATAACAGCATTGGTGCCTGGCATTTCAATCGCTAGATCATTTTTTGGACACTCAAAATGGCCGCAAAAGTCAAGTCCCGTGGCGCCTCGAGCCTCTTTGCCTTGCTGGCACTCTCCAATGTCGCAGCATCTACTGCCATCAACAGGGACGCCGTCCATTCCCTGCAATCACGGGCGCCACCCTCAAAGCTCACTATCAGCGCGGGCACGCTCACGTCAAAATGGTTTGAGAAGTCCGACTATGTCCAGATCATTGAGATGGTTCTTACCAACAACGACCCTGAGAGCTCCTTCATAAAAAAAGACAACCTGACCATCACGGCTTCATCCGACTCTTTCGACATTGTTCGTCCCGCAACTGTCACCCGACTGATGGCTGGGCAACAGATTGTTGTGCAGATAGGGGTCAAGAACAAACCCACAGTTGTTCGGGGGGTTCAGTGTTCAGGAACAATCACTGCAACCTGGGCCAATACCATGACAGCATCCACTCCGATTAGTGGAGAATGCGGATTCGGCGATTACGCTGCGACAAAAGAAAGTTTGAATCGCCAATGGACCCCAGATTGGTACAACAACGCCAAATTCGGCATCTTCATTCATTGGGGCGTATATGCCGTACCAGCCTATGGCAACCAAGGTGCCAATGAGGACTACGCAGAGTGGTACTGGAAGCGCATGGGAGAACCAGACTACAAGTCGAAAACTTACCAGTATCACCGTGATACCTATGGAGAGAATTTCAATTACGATGACTTCATTGCGAATTTCACGGGATCGAAATTTGATGCGGCAGCGTGGGTGAATCTGATTGCAGACGCCGGGGCAAAGTATATGGTCCCTGTAACGAGTAAGTGCTGGCATGGAGATATAAGAACTGCACTAATCCTATTGTTAAGAGCATCACGATGGATTCGCGCTGTTTGATACAAAAGAGACCAGTAACCGCAACTCGGTCAAGCTTGGACCCAAGCGTGACTTTATTGCGGAGCTTATCAGCGCCGCCAAGAAGCTACACCCTGAAATTAGAAGAGGTCAGTGAATGAATGACAGTAAAGGTTTATGACTGACCGATTTCCTCGCAGGTACCTACTTCTCCATGCCTGAATGGTTCAGCCCAGCATATGCGCCTTACGCGTTAGGTTGCTGCGGTGGCTTTCCTGGAGGGCCACCCACCAACCCGTATACCTCCAAAGTGATCGACTATACTGGTTATATATCCGGCAAGGAATATGTAACTGAGATTCAGTATCCACAAATGGAGACTTTGGCCTACGACGAGCGTTATGAGACCGAGCTTATGTGGTGCGATATTGGCGGCGCCAATAATGCGACAACAATGCTATCGGCCTGGATCAACTGGGCACGTTCAAAGGGACGCCAGATCACCTATAACAATCGCTGCGGTTACGGGTCTACCGATCATACGGATGCGACTGGCGGTGATTTCACGACACCAGAGTATGTCACCAACGGCGATACGGTTGTCAGCAAGTGGGAAACAAACCGGGGAATGGACCCATTTTCCTTTGGTTACAACAAGGACACGCCCGACAGCAGTTATCTCACCGGCAAAGATATCGTGCAGTCCCTAGTCGATGTCGTTTCGAAGAATGGAAACTTCCTCCTCGACATTGGACCAAAGGCCGATGGCACCATTCCCGAGATCATGCAGACAGGACTCCAAGATGCAGGCAGATGGATCAAGGAGCGTGGAGAGTCCATCTACGACACTCGCTTCTGGCAGACTACAAGCGGCACGGGAAATTTCAGGTACACCATCAGCGACTCGGCTTTCTACATTCACTTGCTCGCACCACCAGTCTCTCCCGGTAGCATCACAATCCCCGACAAGATTCCGTTCCTAAGCGGCGATGAGATTCGCATTCTGGGAGGCGCTATGAACAACACATACGTGCCGGCAATACTGAACACGGACGGAACGGTGAGGCTGGATGTGCCCGCCAATGTAGCACACGCCGATCGATGGGTTTGGACTTTCAAGGTCATCTATAAATTGTAGGTGTATTATGGGTTACGACAATGACTTGAAAATTATCCACAAGAGGGGAGGCATTAACGCTTGTATGATCACATGATATAGTCACATGACCCGATCATGTGACCTATGATTATCCACCAACTCTATACTAGCACAGCATGATAATGCATATCCGATGATTATTGACCAAATCTATGAGTGCATAAGACCTAGCTTTGATACAGAGTGACTACAGTAGTATGGATTAGCTTGAGTATCATAGACGATGGCATCGTGCCTCTGAACTCATGCTGGGTTCTGCGTGATTACAAGAGCGTTGTCCGCGAGCTGCGCATGCCGGATGTCCATGCGGTCTGCTACCAAAATTCATATCCCAAGCGCAAATAGCAGATGATCTGATGTTGTTTCTGCCCATGTTCACGTGATGCTCTACCAGGAGCGACTTGCTCTCCATGCGCGACACAGGCGATTCAGCCTTGGCCACTGACTTGTAAGGCGGGCAAAACCCCGTGGAGACCAAGAAGTGACTGGCCGATCAAACAGCATAGGTTTCGCAGATGGAATACGCATAACCTCTTCAAAGTAGGTAAACTAGGCAGTGCGTTACTATGACGAGTCCTGGGCTTTGTCCGTTGACATGCCCTACGGGAGGTTTTAAGAAGGTACGTTGAACATATTACAGAAATTCATACCAGGGGCGTAAGTCACGGCTGAATTGTCTGGGAGTGGCCAAAGCAGCCACGTGTACATGTCACGTGCAGCTTTATTAATAGCCGTACAGATACAAAACAACTATTTTACCAACCCCTTTCCCCTTTCGTACGCACAATAAAGGCTCTAAGCTACAAATAAAGTAACAGAAGATTCAAGCGGCTTTGGGGGTTGATTCGTATGGTTTTTGAGCAGTGTAAGGCTGTAGATGTAGATTTAGTTTCCGGCAACGAAGAGTTGGGAAGCCTTGTCCAGCTACTCTTGCTGCCCACCTCCCGCCACCTCCATGAAACAAGCCACTTTCGCTTGTTCACGCGAATGTCATCACGAAACATAATGCCCGGAGATATGAGTTGCTCTGCATGCTGTTGAAATTGCGGCGCACGTAGGGATGCCGAATAGGCTCTCTTGATAGCATAGAGTAAGTACACAGCCACGCCCTATTGTTACAAATGTTTTGCCCACCATTGGAAATGACAATCTCCTTGGCTCGATTGCCGGGTTGCTTGTGCGCAATCTGATCGCCTTGCGGAAGGTCGGCCGGGCCGGCTCGATTTGAACCATGCTAGCTTGCCGTGAGCGTTGAACTACTCGCGGCATTAACCGCAACGTTATCAAGTACAAGAAGGCAAGTCATCAGATTGCTCGTATTGCGAACGCGGGCGAACAGGCAAGAATTGGTCAAGCGCTTGGAAATGGAAACGGAGTTCCTGGCCACCATGGTCCTGAACAAGCCATATTGAAAAGTTCTTGCGGCTCCCGGAGGCACTACAATTAACGCACCGAATGCTGCAGTTGTAGTGTGCAAAGGATAGCGGGCGACTGCCCTCTCAGGCAGGTTCAAGGCATTCTCAATTTGTCAAGGCTGCCAAGCGCCGAGACACAATCCTTTAGCTTATTCGTCGACAAGCTTTAGCTGAGAATTACTTAATCTCCGCTCTTGGCTACGCTCATACAAGCAGTTGAAAGGTGACGAGACGGTGCTATGATAACTAGTACTGCCGGATCGACACGTGTGTAGCATTTCTATTGGACATGTCTTGCTCACATGCCAAATTTAGCCTAGGCTTAGCGGGACGATCCCTCAAAACGGCGCCCCTGCAATTCCACCCAGTAGACGCCTCGTACACCACCAAGACATTTCACCTGCCAAACAAAGCCTAGCATACATTCATGCTATACCCCTATCTAACCAAGGCCGTTTAGTACGCGCTGAATGCTCGCAAACCGGACATTGGCTTGCAGCAGGCCGCAGCAAATCATGCGCGCGTGCTGGAGCCAGATCAAGCAGAAATGCGCCGTTGATGCAATCAACTGACCTCGGCTCGTCACAGCTCAATGGGTTGTCACCTGCCAGGCATCCACTATTTTCAACCAAGATCGGCATTTGCTGTCGACGAGATTGCCCGAATTGCACTGACAAGGGCTGGTTTTCTCTCACTGAATACTATTGTACAAATTTTCGGTCAAGCTGTACGTGAAGTGATAACAGGGAGATCGAAGGATGCATCGATGATGATCTCATGCGCCGGCTATCGAATCCTAAGGCTTACCATGGTGAAAATCAAAGGCTTGGCCTCTGATGCTTGTGCCGAGCAAAGCTTAGTCCGCGGTCAGAGCTTATCTCCTGCACCCCACGCCAGCAGCTCCAAACGCCGTCACACTACAGAGGCAATCATCTGCTCTGTATCCAATCACCACGTGTAGTAAGGCTGCCCCCTATACAAGCATATCTACACGTGGACCACAAACGCAGAAGGTGAACGCCTGACAATCTGCCAGTGCTGGTTTAGTCTGCCAAAACCCAAATACTGAATGTAGTTCGAGTCATCTTGCCGCAAGCTCCGCTTTGCCAATGGCCGAATCGATAAGTTTCACAGTTTGCTCGTCCCCGACGCATTGGCCCGAGTAGCAGGGTGTTGCAGAGCACGTCTGAATCCAGCAGGTCATGTTTGGAATGTGGGCTCGTCAACCCTATGGCATGTATACTACCTACTGATCTGAGACTAGTACGATACTGAGACAACAGTTTAGATTGCTATTCCCGTATCGGCCTCGGCCATTGGATAGCAGGCTTACACAATCCGTCACTGAAGACTGTAATGTCGTAATTCGCCTGCAAAACTGAGTATAAAGCCCAGCTGCCGCCGCGTGCTGCTAGAACCTCATCCACAGAGCCTCCAAGCATTTGTGGTTCTCCAGCCTGGTTCTATCTTACTGGTTTCTTCACTGCCTTGATACATCTTCTGGTCTCCCTCCAAATCGAAGTCATGCCTTCTTTCGCCACCCTTACTATGGCGCTGGCCGCAGCCAGCGCCGTCTTTGCCAGCCCTGTTCAACTGGAGAAGAGAGATTCCTTCACCATTGAGCAAGTTCAGCGGGGTACATACCTCAAGGTTGGACCCGAGGCTCTGATCAAGGCTCTCCGCAAGTACAAGAAGCCCATTCCTCAAAGCCTCAGGGATGCTGCTGCCAACTTCCGCGAAAACCAAACCCTCGCTGCCGCTGCCGCCGGTGGCTCTGGAAGTGTCACTGCATCCCCTTCCGACTCTTATGACAGGTCTTACTTGTGCCCTGTCACTGTTGGTGGCACGACTCTTCACCTTGACTTCGACACTGGAAGTGCCGATCTGTAAGTTGGTATCCTGATATATTTGACACCGCCACTGACCTTGAACAGCTGGGCATTCTCTTCCCTCCAGTCCAGGAGCCAACGTGGAAGCCACGCTTACTACACCGTCAACCCTTCCAAGCAGCTTCAGGGATACTCATGGAGCATCTCCTACGGCGATGGCTCCGGTGCATCTGGAAAGGTGTACGCTGACAAGGTCACTGTTGGCAGTGTAACAGCTACTTCTCAAGCTGTCGAGGCCGCCACCTCCGTGTCGGCCGAGTTCAGCCAGGACGTTACTGATGGACTCCTCGGTCTTGCCTTTAGCTCCATCAACACCGTTGAGCCCCAGGCACAGACTACCTTCTTCGACACTGTGCACGACCAGCTTGCCAGCCCCCTTTTCGCCGTGACTCTCAAGTACCACGCCGCTGGCACCTACGACTTTGGCTTCATCGACAGCTCCAAGTACACCGGCTCTATCACCTATGTCAATGCCGACAACAGCCAGGGCTTCTGGGCCTTCTCCGCCTCTGGATACAGCGTCGGCAACAGCAACACCAGGAGCTCTATCAGCGGTATCCTCGACACTGGCACCACCCTCATCCTCGTTGATGACTCCATTGTCAGCGCCTACTACTCCCAGGTCAGCGGTGCCCAGTTCGACAACTCCCAGGGAGGCTACACCTTCCCCTGCAGCGCCTCGCTCCCCACCTTCTCCATCACTGTCGGTGGCGTTAAGCAAACCGTCCCTGGAAAGTACATCAACTACGCTCCTGCTAGCGGAAACAGCTGCTTCGGCGGTATCCAGAGCAACTCTGGCATTGGCTTCAACATCTTCGGCGACATCTTCCTCAAGAGCAAGTACATTGTTCACGAGATGAGCGACAACGCCAACCCCAGGATTGGATTCGCCCAACAGGCTGGCGTCTAAGTTCGCCATAAGAGATGAGCAGTGCGCGGCATGTGTGACGGCCTGTAAGGAATAATGCTTTTGATGAGTTGTTTGGACGGGTTTACTTCTTCTACTTTACATATTTGATTGGTTTCAGTGTAGCAGCGCCAGGCGGATTGTATTTAAGTATCAAGCATGAAGTTTTCTTAAAATTCCTTTGTGCATTCGAGTGTACAGTGATGTGATCTGCGCTAAAGAATCGGCACATCGAAGTTGTAGTCACCATGGCTACTAACTCTTCTCTAAGCTGAGTCACATAACAGGAAAACGTCTACTTCGGTGCAAAGCAAACAAAAACATGGAATCTCCATGTATTCTGTGCACTCCGGAAAGGACCTTTTACATGAAATCCTGCAAGATATAGATCTGGTGTTCCGCTTACAGATGACAGCCTCACAAAGAGCCTTTTTCGAGCATTAAATGTTAAAGACTGACTTAATCGTTGGAGTAAGACCAGTGACGTCCTGTCGAAATAGTAAGAAGCCCAAAATAGCACTATGAAATATCGTTTAGCCTAATCTACCGTTCGATTTTAACCGAATTCCTACGCAAATACAGTCATCTCCAAGCAATCTCTATGCGCATGCCCCAGCACGCTAGCGCAAATACCGCCACTACGTTCGCACACTGACGCATGGTGTGCCTATTCCGTGCTGTCAGTGCCAAACTAGCGTTTGCGGAGAGACAGAGGGATAAAAGAGAGTGAGACTTACGGTCAAGTCCTCAGCACGTGAGAGCCAGAGAATATTTCCCTCGGGGACATGCACTGCACAGTCCAGGTTTCACGTTATCTTCGGCCAGACTAGTACACGTCCAGATACCCGGCCCGAAGGCTCACCGTTGCGATCTCGCCGAGATCGATATCATGGAAACGCTTGCTTGGCAAGATCCCGATAGTGCTGTTTTTTTACGCTCGATCGCGCTTATGGGGCCGGGTTCTGCCCGAGATGCGGTAGTACTCGTTTACATTACTCGCTTTTTTTTAATTGTGCAAGGCTCGCGGCTTTGTGGATAGGTAGGTGTTCATCAGAAGTTTGCTTAGTCCACCGATTTGTTCAGGCTACACGTAGTGGAGAATATATTAGTCCTCCACTCTTCTTCCTATGTAGAACAGTGATCTCTTAGTCAAGCCTCTGAATCCGGTGTTGATTGTTGTCAGTTTTGTGTTTTTGCAGGAGATAGTGAATGGTCATCTTACAAGTTCAAGGGCATAGAAGGTATTCAAACCTTTATCGATTGTGATAGCTGCGCCGCTATGAAGTTGTTTCCCAGGCTATAGAATGCTATGAGGCTGATGCCGATATCAACTGTCGAGGAACAACATGCGGATGTCTCACTGCAGACTCTATAGAGAGAGATTCTCTGCTCCAGCGTAAAGTTCCGATAGTCATGGTAAGAAAAATGCCTTACGTACTGTCAGTACTTGGAGTACATTTCGGCTCTCTAGAAGAATTGCCATCACAACCTTCACTTGTGGTGACGTCTCCTCTGTACTCCTGGCTAGATTACAATATGCTCAAACATTCCCAGTGTTTACAAGCGCTGCAATGTAGCCGAAGAGCAAGAGGGGTACGCTGGTGCTAGGGAATCTTTTACATTATTAATCAACCATGGATTAGATAACCGCAACGTGACGTCTGATTGAGCTATAGTTATCCTTCATGACCACAGCTTCACGCGCCATTGGTAGACCACCTGCCCTTAACCGTCTGAACCCCTGCTGTGCCCAAATATCGCTTCAGCTCCTCCGTATACTCCTTCGCAAGCAAATCAAACGGCTTCCGCAGACCGCCCGTCTCCCACCCTCGCAGCTCCATGCCCGTCTTAACCGCCGATGGGTAATTGTGGCTCTCAAGGAACTTGCAAATGGGAAAGATTTTCCTCCACAGCTTGCGCGCGCCCTTGAGATCACCTTGAACGGCTAACATGTCCCATAACTCCACGGAGAGCTCAGGGATGATATTGGTGGCACCCCATACGGAACCCTTGGCGCCTGCAGCGAGGCCGTAGAAAGTGAGTGTGTCCCAGCCGTTGAAAGCCGTGATTTTGTTATCGAGCTCGAAGAGGAGCTCTGTCAGTGCCGGCGCGTTGCCAGACGTATCCTTCATGTAGTAAACGCCCACTTCGGAGAGGGAGGCTAGCTCGGTAGGGGAGAGTGTAATGCCACTGGCAGAGGGGATGTTGTAGAACATGATGGGCAGCTTTGCCGCTTCATGTACCTCCTTCATGAGTTCTCGTAGTTGCTGGTAGTTGACTGGGTCATAGAACGGTGGGACCAACATGAGTGCATCAGCTCCAGCCTTGGCCGCATGCGTCGCTAGGTCGACGCATTCCCACGTCGATAGGGCGCCTACGCCAGCTACTACAGGAATTCTTCCTGCTGCATATTTAATGACGAGCTCCAAGACGTTATTTCGTTCATCGAGTGTCATGGCTGTGAATTCGCCTGTTGTGCCGCCAGGCACGAGGCCATGGACTCCAGCCTCAACCATTCGATTGATATGTGTTTGTAGTCTTCCTTCATGTACTTTCTTTCCATCATCAGTGAAGGTTGTTACCAATGCCACTAGGATGCCACTGAGTTCTCGCGGAGCCATGGCTATTGGAGTGTAAGAGAAGAAGAGGTTGGTGTCAAATGAAACTCGAATCGGTGCGTGAGGTAGTAGCTGAGGGAAGGTACTGAAACTCAAAGCAAGCGCGACAACAGTGCATTCCAAATATGAAGCCCTCCTAAATCTCACTGTACGCGAAAATATAGGGATATCATGTCGGGTATGGTGGGGCATCTTTGACAGGAGTAAACTTCCGAATGCGGTTAGTCTGGTGACTTGTTTCCGACCATGCTGATCGGTTGGGTTAGGAGCATCCAGACGTCAAGGTGCAACTACATTAGGTATATGATTCCGCAAGCAACATGCCAGATTTTTTGAGCCGTTCATATTGGTGGAACTCATGCCGTATGCCAACATGTGTCTGGAAATGCTTAGCCAGTCTCGCCCGCGAACCTGTGCGCGCACATATCACTGCAGACTATTCCTTGAACATCCATGCATGATTGAAGCGCATTCCTTAGTTTACATATCAAGATTTTCAGGACTTCGAATTCTAAGGTGCAGAGCAAACCTGTTGGGTGCAACAGACTATCGACAGCGACATACAGCAATCCTACAAGACCAGGCTTTCAGACATGGCAAACCGCGCACCAAACTTGGACCCTCTTGTCTTCTCAATTCAGGACCTTGAGAAAGAAGGGACAAGGCGGCTTTCGCAAGGATACCGCGATTTTTACAATGGTGGTGCAATGGACATGATTACGTGCGTATCCAAATCGTCGGCTGGGCACTCTCTGACCTGTTTAGGCTCAGGGACAATGTTTCGGCATACGATCGATACAAGATCCAGCCGCGCATTCTTCGCAATGTCTCCAATCTAGACTCGACTGCAGAAATCTTCGGATACAGGGCGAGTTTCCCTTGCGCTCTGAGCCCAACTACGATGCATTGTCTAGCGCATCCAGATGGAGAACTGGCGACGTCGAGGGCGGCAGCGAAGGCAGGGATAGCAATGGCCTTATCTTCATACTCCAATATGGCATTAGAGAACGTCATAGCTCAGGGAACTGGTAACCCCTACATGATACAAATGTGCATTTTGAGGGACCGGAGTCGCACGTTGCAGTTGCTGGAAAGGGCGGAAAGTGCGTACCCCTACCAACAGTGCAAGTGTAGACTGACTCTCCGATAGACGCCGGTTACAAAGCACTATTCCTCTCTGTCGACGTACCGGTCCTGGGAAGACGACTGGGAGAAATGCGCACAGACTTCTACCTGCCGAAACATCTGTCCTTTCCCAACATCTTATCAAGCGGCGATGGAGACTTTGGTGATGACGAGACCAAGCGCAACGGGCCCACGGCTTTCGATGACACGCTAGAGTGGGAGGAGGTCATTCCATGGTTGCGGAAGCACAGCAATATGCAGATATGGCTGAAGGGAGTGCTATCGCCTGAAGAAGTTGAACAAGCGGTAGTTGCGGGTGTCGACGGGGTGATCATCTCGAATCACGGGGGTCGCCAGCTTGACGGTGTGCCTGCCACACTGGATGCGTTGCGCTCCTGTGCGCCCATTGCCAGAGGACGTATTCAGATTGCCGTGGACGGCGGGATAAGGAGAGGTTCAGATATTTTCAAGGCCATCGCACTCGGGGCGCAGTGCTGCCTTCTCGGACGGATCGCCATATGGGGGTTAGCTGTAAGTAACTGCAAGTTGAAACCAGTTCCGAAACTGACGCCCATCCAGTACAAAGGCCAGGCGGGCGTAGAGTTGGGTATTCGGATTTTATATGATGAGTTCAGATCTACCATGGCGTTGGCTGGCTGCCGTTCGGTAAAGGAAATCTCGACGGATCATCTGAGTGTATTGGAGGGCAACGGTATTCTCGCGAAGCTTTGACGTATGGCCGACATCAGTATTACGTTTAACGATACATTCCACCTAGTATAGCATGAGCCAGACTTTACTTTCGCGCAATACATCCACCCAAGAATAGGCCTTTCCTCTTTTTGACATGCCATTTTCGGGGTCTGGTATCACCCTTGCCGCGTCGCGTTGCTCCCATACCTTGCGCATAACTTGTTGCGAGGCCGTGAAACCGTTGAAAGCGGATCGGTTTGCACCCTTCTCCATCCAATCCATTAACCATTATTGGGCGGAGGTCGACATTGCTTCGCATCCGGCAATGAAAGCTGGCCACGGTGTACCTGGCGACTTGTCGTTGGCAGTACCTTGCGCGAGATCAAAATTCCCCAAAGCTGTGATGACATCATTGACGTACGTTTGCAAGATGAGAGGATGAACATTACGGATCCTCCGGTAGAAGAATATCACCAAAGCTGAGCCCATGGCTCTCAACATGGCTTGGCTGGAATTAGAGGGGTTGGGCCTAGCATCGCCATTGCCGTGCAGCGGCGAAGGAGACCTGGAGACGCTGTGTTGTGTGGAAAAGGAGCAAATCATGTGCTCTAATCGAGTCGTCTTTCTCTGCAACGAGTCTGTAAAGGCTCGCGGCACTTGCAAGGGTGTTCGCTCTAGGAAGTCGAGAATGTTTGCAACTCTTGTCGTCTGCGATACTAGACTGAGCCAGTCTTCTGGAATGCCATAGATTTCCATGTAGAGAGTTTTAGGCCACTGGCGAAGATCTGATAGGTGGATGTCACGGAGGCCAGCCTCCTGGTCCTTGGATGCATCCACATCGGAGTCACTGTCGGTGCCATGTGTCTGGACTCGAAGAAAATCATCGAGCTGGGGGTGCTCATCTGCCACCATTGCATCCTGATCTGAAACTGGCAAAACGCTAGGGACCCCAAGGTTTGTTTGGAAGATCCTTTCGATTTTCGCCTGCATACCGGAACTGTTGTGGTCGTGCAGGGTAAAGGTACTTTCGCCAATGATTCTGAGCCAGGTGTAAACGTGATGTAGTAATCGAGCTCTGCGCGAGACTTCTCGTTTAGCCAGCCCTCTTAGTCTCAAAAGGCGCTCCGCATCGATGAGATAGCATCTACCGTCGGTCGAGTTGCCGCTCAAAGTCTACCCATAATTAGCATGGGCTATGAATTAGAAGCGAATGCCTACCGCAAGCGCGATAAGACTGAAAGTAGCCATTAGCTGGTCTTTGTATTTGGCTTTTTGCGGACCAGTCGTCTCTGATCTCAACGACTCTTGCATGTGGCTCTTGGCCCGTCGTGATGCATACTCAAGGATCCGAGTTCCCTTCTGGTACGACAGAGTTTCAGGATAGCTCTCTGTTTTGATGATGGTATGTGCTGAGCAGCCGATAATAGCATAGAGATTGGCAATATTTGCATGTTTCATGTTCGAAGTTTGAAGGAAGGTCATGTCGGCGAGCGTATGTACGGCATTACTCCAGTTGAGTATCTCCCACGGCGATTTGGAATGCATTGGAAGCGGCACGAACTGAGGAATCACAACATCTCGAAAGTGCTTCAGGAGCACCTTTGCATCTTCAAGGATTTCATCATCATCTAATTCTTTTGGTGCACAAGGCAGAGGTTGTGCGTTTGCCACTGGCGCGACCAAACCTGTCTTTTGTTGATCCCGAAAATGATCTGGTTTGAATGAGTGACACACGGAATGACTTTCGTCATTGGCCCCGTGCGGCTGGGCGGCAACATGAGCTAGAAGGTCAAGCGGATCGTGGTATGTTTGTTCATGCAGAGTGGGCATAGAAATGTACATCGTAGGGCTAAACAGGTCGTTCCACACGAGGCCGGCGGAGCTGTCGAGCAATGATTCTAAATCGGGAAAAAAAGTCCGTTGAAGGGTTATTGAAGAGATCAAGCTCAGTCAAAGCAAGTTCTGCGTCATCTTCCGTATGGCGTACATCCGTAGTAGGGACCATAGGGGACGGACATGCTGGCGCATGACTGAAGATTCCGACACTGGTAGATGGTGTTTCGTTGAAAAGAAGGGAACGGTCTGCAGGAGAGATGCTTTGCGGTGGTGCAACAGATTGTTCTGACATCTGGTCAACCTGTTGGGAGATACTGGGGGAGGCTGCTCTATCAGGCTGTTCTATCCGGCTGTGAGTGCGGACCCAGGTATCTGGTCAACAGGGAGCGGACTTCGGCTTAGCTGCGTAGATGGCGCATCTTGCTGTGCTTGGGCTGACTTGGGGGTAGATATGGAAGCCCAGCGGATTAGAGAGGGAAAGCCTCCACACTGAAGGCCGGCATTGCAACATACAGAGCATTGTGGACGTGTCTGGTCGCATTTGACATGGCGGCGACGGCAGGTCGAGCAGCCACCTAGGTTGTGAGTCCGTCGCGGCTGCAGATGCTTCCGCGCTGTCGCCCTGCTGCGGTTGTTGGGCATGATTCTAGATGGAGGAAAGCGGTGCCTATTAGTAGGCGAGACAGGAGAGCTTTGCCAACATAGCTATGTGGTGATAGCAGTGTTGGGTGAGAGATGAATGGTGTTCTCCGCTTGGCGCAAGTAAACTGAATTTCAGACTCAAGAAATCTACTCCTAGGCCAAGACCAACAGCTAAAGCTGCAACTAGAAGCAATTGGAGAAGCAATTACTCTAGTAATACAACAAGCTGCAGATAAAGCTATCCCATAGCTAAGGCAAGGACCAAAGCCTAAGCTATGGTGGAGCCAGGAGCTTACTAAGCTAAGAAGAGACGTGTCCTATTACCAAAGGATATTCTCGCAAAAGCTAAAAGAGACTTCTATGCAAGAAGCTTACCTATATAAGAAGGACTTTCTAACAGCGCGAAACACCTACTAAAGGGCCATTAAAGAGGCAAAAAAGAAACACTAGAACGATTTTCTAGAGAGAGAAGACCCACAGTCTATCTTTAAAGTAATGGCATATACAAAGGAGCAGCGAGTAGAGAGAATACCTCCTATACAAGGAGAGGCCCTAGAGACTACGTTTAAAGGAAAGTGCAGAGCCTTTAGAAAGGCGCTTTTCCCTCCGCCTCCAACTACCCAGCCGCCTAGCTTCTCGAGCTACAGCGAAGGAAAGTGGGAGTGGCCAATACTATCAATAACTGAACTAGAACAGGCCTGTTCTAGCAAAGTTAAAAGTAGTACACCAGGCCCAGATGCTATTACTCAAGACATCATTACCGCCGCCTTTCAAGCCCAACTAAAGACGCTATTTAAAGCTTACTCTCTACTATTTAACTATGGATACTATCCAACCTGCTGGAAAAGAGCTACAGGGGCAATACTCAAGAAACCGTCTAAGCTAGACTATTCTCTCCTAAAGGCCTATAGAGTTATCACACTCTTAAGCGGCCTAGGAAAAGTTATAGAGAGAATTATAGCTAAACGGCTAAGCTGCCTAGCAGAAGTTACAAACCTACTCCACAATTCGCAGATAGGAGGCAGGCTAAAGAAGTCAGCAATAGACGCAGCCCTACTACTAGTAGACCAAGTCCAGCACCAGAAGCAGCGAGGATACGTACC